AGCCAGAAACACATATTTTATAGATTTTATTTTCTCTCACATTTAATATCTTTTACAATCATTGGCACCTTAGCTTCAATGAAATGCAGTGGTTAGAAGCAACAATGAACAGAGAGAATATGTATGTAAGAGAGAAGGAAAGCAGAGAAGGAGTTTGGTGTTCCTCAGGGATCCTGACCTAGGAGGGCTGCTGGAGTGGGAGACACATAGGATAGATATCAAGGAGTGGGTAAAAAAGTATTCTGGAAGGAGGAAGCCAAAGGAACTCCCAAATACCCTGGAGGGCAGATTTCTGTGTGTATGGTGGTGGGGGGGTCGGGAAGGAATTAAGATCAGTGTATAGACAAGTAAATTCTCCTAAGTCCTCATCCATAATAGAGTAACAGGTTGAACGAGCTCTGAAAGTTCTGGTTCAATCTGAGGCCAGTAGCAGCTGTGCCCCACCCATCCCATGACATCTTTGACTCAGTTCTTTACCTCCCACTTTGGCTACCATGCTGGGCTGGATACAGTCCAAGCCAGAGCCCTGAACTCTACTGGACAACACACTGGCATAGCTGAGCCATTCATTTTTCCCCAAACTCACCACAGTATGGAGCCCTGGAAGTTGTCTGGAGATAGACTCTCACTTCCTTGGGAAGTGGCTCTATCTTGACACCACCTTGTTCCACCATCCCTGGAAGTCAAGAAACAAAGACAACAGAGCCCTGAGCAGGCCATTTCAGGGTCCCATTGCACCCAGCCACATATTGATTAATTCATGCATCCATTCGTCCTGCGAACAACTACACTGCATACTCGTTATGTGTCATGCTCTATGATGAGTCCCAGGATACATGCAACTTAGTCTATCAGGAGATAAACACACAAGTAAATAGGCAATACATTCTTCAGATCATGTGGCCCATTCTTAGGAGATATTTCTAAGAAATTTGAAATTATGTCTTCAACTTGCAAAACAACCTACATGACCGTTGTTTAATGGCATTTGTATTCTGTGTGGTAGGAACACAGAATATGCTTGACCTGTAGAATAGTGATTGACAAGTTGGGGTAGGGCATTCTGGACAGAGAGGACAGTTTGGGCTAAAGAACAGAGGGTAAGGATACATGAAATACTCTTGAGAATACAAGTAGTTAGCATCCCTAGGGTGGTCAGTGCCAGGGAAAGTGTAGTGAGGGATGAAACTGGGCACTGTCTGAAGTGGTTGTTACACCAGCCAGTCTGTCATATCTGGGGGATATTGTGACATATGCCCAATCGGTAGGAAGTACTGTTGATCTGCTTTGTCATGAGAAGCTAGCCCTACTTTACCATTTTGTCAAGGTGGTATCCATTTCATTCATGTAAGGCAATGACAAGCTGATGCAACTCTTAGTGGCAGCCAGTGGTGAGAGGTAGAAGAGTGAAGGAGGGGAAGGAACAAGTTACACTTTTCAGAGTTTTTGCTGGAGCCCTTCATCCTGGATAACCCCAGGAGGCTCCCAGCAATGATCTGCACAGGTGAGTCGAGGCCAGGTTCCTCAGCCATCCCCGAGCTCTTCTCCCCACACTGGCCTGGATCATCCAGGAATGTGCCCAAGCCAACCAGCAGTTAGGCACTTCTCCAGCTGCCATGTGGTCACCACAGCCTCACAACTCTGAAGTGGGTCACGTGTGCCACTCTTGGGGAGTCCTCCACAACACCTGATTTAAGGTCTATCAGGAGTTCAAGAATAGCTGGCCCAGCTAGAAAGACCTATATCAAGCATCTAGTCTGCAAGTGGAGGTAGGGGCTCAGGACTGTACCAATGTTTCTAGAGAGTGTCCTGAAGCTGGACTTGCAAGAGAGGTACTATGTGTGCAAAGGGTGTGTGCAGAGCGAGTATGGCATCAGGAAGCAGAATAGAGGGTGAAGGGTGGGACACAAAGGGCCAATGCCATTTTCCGGGTGAGAAGAGGCTGAATACCTCATCAGTTACATTTTCTCTACCCCAATTGTGTAGATGTCTTGATCACAGGAGATTAGACTTAAAGAGGTGACAACTAGCGGGACTTGAACTTTCTCCAAATTGTCAAAGGAAGCCAAAGAGATAGAAGTTACCGATCCTTGGACAGGAAAGCAGAAAAGGGTTAAAACAATCCAGACAGTGTCCAGCGAGGAAGGCCTTGTAGCTTGTGCAGGGAAAGGCCATCAAAGGACAAGAATTCTCCAGGGCGCTGATGTAGAGGTGCACGGCCCTCATGTGATCACAGATCAGGTAACTGTAGCCTGAACAGGGGTGAAAAATACAACCAAGGTTTTATTTCAAGCCAGATGGAAACTCCCTCAGGCTACTTACTGTAACTCTACTGAATATTCTATTTCAGCAGGCTATAAAAATGTGGAATGTCCCCTGAACCACATTTTAAAAGTATTACTGGACATGATTATTACATTCTTTCTTCTCATTTTCTGGTGGTACTTAAGCTTACTATATGAAGGAAATACTGCTTAATTCGAGACCCATTCTCCATGAATATGCAAACTCTCTTTCAGAAAATGAAAGCATACAGAGTTGGTTACTCTGACCCTATTTCTCAAAATGAATATGTCTGCACATATTACCTTCTTCACCATCACTCACACAAACAATTTTTTACAAAAACTTTTTTTTAACAATCTCATTATATCCAACCCAGCAATGAGACGATCAAGGGAATCAGCAGCAGTTTGTAGTCAGTCTCTGAAAGACAATGTGCTGAAGTTCACTTGGCCAAAGGACGATAATGCTGAGTTTGCCAAATGACTCAATTTTTAAAAATTTGGTATTCTTGTTATCATTTTTGTTTAATATTTAAAATTTTATAATAACTCACATTGGTTTAATTGGCTAGAGCTAGGTGAGCCACAACTCCAGGTTTCTGAGGTCTTCAGACTCTCTCCTTCACCTTGGGACTCCCTCACCCCCAACTCTGAAAACAGTAACCACATCTGAGCTATGGATTGATTTTTCTTTCTCCCCAGGGTTGGGACACTCTAGAGTCAAGCTCCTTTCAGCTGTGACAGGAAGCTGGGAGACATAAACTAAACTCTTCTCTAGTTATGTTATGAAGAAGAAATAAAATGTGACCAACTAAATGCCACAGAAATTTTCAAAAGCCATTAAAACTAGACTATCCCACCTGATCAAAATTGCTAGAAAACCTATAAATTGTTAAAAGAAGCATGTTTTTGAGAAATCAGTAAATTTGGTGAACTTGATTAGTGGTTATTCAATATAATTGCCCAAAGAATCCTTAAAATGTCAAAAATTTGGTAAAGCGGGAAGATAATAAAAAAGAGAGTAAACAGAAATCAAAATAAAATTCCTGATTTCCATGAAATGCTGATAGGTTGGCTATATTCATAAGAAAGATATAAGAAGACTAAACAACCCCTGATGCATAACTGTTGACAAATTTAATGTTATTTAAAATGATACTAAAAAGAATATAGTCAATAAATATATATATATTCAAAAATAACATTTCAAAAAAATATATTTACAAGAGAAAAAATGTATATTTGTTGAAAGTATTTAAGAAGATTATTTTCAAAACAATTTTGAAGAGCTGTTAAATTTAGTAAGTTTGGGGATATGGTCATGCAGTGAATTGATCCTTTGGCTAGCTAGCTTTGGGCACATCAGTCTACTTCTGCTGCAACTAAGCTCTGCAGAGGATGAAGCTAGTATGGATTATACCATGAACCAGGGCCCAGGAAGAATACAAATTATTGCCTTGAGTGATGTAATATCATGGCAGGGCCTAAGAATTGAAGAAAGCAGTGTATGGATGACGTAGGCTTTCACTTTCAGGCTCCTCTCCCCCAGAATTTCTGGGCTTCGAAGATATCCATTCATAAGGGCTTACTAAGGCATTATGGGATGTAGCAAAGGACACTAGAAGATAAGACATCCTGTGGCCCACACTGGCTGACTCAACAGGAAGGTTGATGGTGAATTCTGGTGTCTGGAGAAGCCAAACACCAACTCTCTCAGGCTTTCTGACCTGCATGAATGAAGGTGGGACAACCAGGTTGGTCTTGGCCTCCGTTGACGAAGTAGTCCACATGTCCGACAGGAATTCGAATACCCAAATCTGAAAGAAGGTAGAATCCCATTACCTTCTTACTGCAGGTGTGTATTTTCCGAGTCGCATAGCGGAGTCCACTGGCAGCCTGAGGTGTGACTTTGGGAGCCCACCTACTATCTATACTGAATGGGTATCCACCTCACTCCTGAGTGCTGTGAGACCACAGAACTAGCCCTTAGTTTTCTAAAGGGGGTTTCCCACTCTGAAAGGAAGCAGAGAAGAATAAATTCATAAGTGGGTGCTCATATTTACCTAATAAAATGAAGAAAAATATCCCTTAACATAACTTTTAATAAATCAGTAAATGTCATGAGCTTGGTAAATTTCCTTGTGAAATAGTTTCTATTTTGCTTCAAGCAATAGTTCAGATATATGTGTTTGGGGCCACACTTCCATATTCTCCTATATACTTTTGTGTTCTCCTAACTGAGCAGAAATATGACCTGTCTACAAAGAGATGAGTTCGAGAGATTATAGACCTTATTTTATCATTGTGACCATATCTGACCCCTCAGACTGGATCAGATCTAGCTGCCAAAGACATGCTTCTCTCCTTCATGTTATCTATCATTACTGTGAGCAATTTATTGTGTATTATTTGTTTAATGTTATCTATCCAGGGGTTAAGCAATAACCTAGAAGTTATCCTTGAGTCCTCCTCATCACTTGTCTCATAGCTCTATCTCTGAAATATATTTTGAATCTTTCTACTTCTCTCTGTCTCTACTGCCGCCACCCTAGCCCAGGCTGCCACCATCCCTCACCCAGACTCTTACAGCAAACACCCTCTAATGTGCCCCCAGAACCCCCTTGACACCCTGCTGCAGTCCATTCTCTGCAGAGCAACCACAGTAATGTTTTAAGGAAACCTAAATCACCACCTCCCTGTTCTCAGATTATAGGATAAAATTTAAACTGATTTCCCATGGCTGGCCTGGTCCTTTTCCCCTCCTCTGCAACTTCACTCAGGGCCTCACTCACTATACTCTGTCCTGTCCCCACCCACTTTCGTTTTGACTGTCCTCACCACCTAGAATGTTCTCCTCACAGCTCTTCTCAGGGTTAACTCATTCGCATCTGCAAAGCCTCACCTCAAATATCATGTCTTTGGACAGACTTCTTCCTCAATAATCCTACTTGAAGTAGACCCCCTACCCAAGTCACCTTCTATCTCATATCCTTCATTATCATAATCACAATGTGTAATTACCTTTTCTGCTTATTTGTATGCAAGGTCCACATCAGAAGGACCTTTACCTGTCTTTTTTCTGCTATATCCTCAATACCAGCGTAGTACCTGGCATACATGAGTGCCTAATAAATATTTATTAAAGGAATCAATTAATGAATGCTTGGCCTATTAGCCAGTAAATTCCATGTGGGCAGGGACCTCATATGATGTTTCATTCACTGCAGTATTCTCAGTCCTACTACATAGCTCAATAAAGATTGATTGCATAAATGGAACATTCTTTTTTCCTTTGGTCACATTAAAAAGAGGTTCCAACTTTGAAGGGCACTGAGAAACCTAGCTCAGGTAAGTAGGGACCTAATAAGTTACCTATTTAACAAATTTAGGGACAGAAGGGGATAATCTTGTTAATTAACATGGTAAGTTAACCTAGGTAAGCACTCAGGCAGAGGCCTGTGGGCTTTTGTTTCCTATCCATGAGATAAAGGTGGGAAAGAGGGTTGAACAAGATGACTGCTTCGGTTTCTTCCGGAATCATGAATCTGAGTCTTGAATGCTAAAAGAAGGCTTCTGATCAAAGGGAATGAGACATGGACATCTCTCATTTGAACTACAAACAATTCTGGTAGGATCAGATGTTACTTCTTCTATCATCCACCATGCTGAGCACAGGGCCTAACACAGACTCATGGGCATTTGATATGCAGTCAAAATGAGAAGGCATGCCCACCCCCTTTCTCAGCCAGAGAGAAGAGCTTAATTTGGTCATAATGGATTTAGAGTTGCGTGTCTTTCCTGTGCCTGTCACTATCGGAGAGGGGAATTCTCATTTTTCACTGGACTGAGGGCTGGGCTCCTCCTCTCAGAGGCCTGGGAATCTTCCCCAGAAATAGAATGCCCCAATCTCCTGTGGGCAGTCATAGTCACCCTGAAAAAACAGCATGACTTTTACATATGTCAGCAGGTAGCAGTGCCCACTCTGATACTACCTCAGCACAAGGTTTAGGGTTGAATCAGAATGTTAAATCATTTGATCCACATATGAGAAATCTGCTGCTGCTGCTGGCTAAAAATCGAAACATTCATCTGTGGTCAGAAAATGACAATGCTGAAACAGACTTGAAAG